AAAGACATTCTTACCCACTACTATACTATCCTACCGCCCTACCTTATTATCTACATCCTGGGCTCCTCATTAACTGTATTCTAGACTTAAGACATATGTATGCTCCCTATATCTATCTTGTCAAACAAGACATTGATTGGTGGCAGACTGGACAGCTCTCAGTTACCCTGAACTCTAGTTGACTTAGTGACATAGCAGGCCTAAAACCATACCTCCATGTGGCCCCCCCTTGTAGGCTTTTCCTAGTGAACTACCGGTAAAACGCCTGCGCAGTAGGTACAAGAAGTGCATGTTCTTTTAAGAACTGACCACTCCTTAACCACTCCCTAATCCCACCCTGAATCCCCTAGTTAGCATATTTGGCACATGTTTTATTGTATTTTATCCTATATAAACTTTAACTGTACCTCTCTAAGGTTGCAGGATCCTTTAAGAATCCTTGCCCGCTGAAAAGCGTAGCAATAAACTTTGCCACCTTGGCCTAAAGAATTTTTCAGTCTGTAAATTCATTCCAGATGACCATGTACTTCAGTCTTTGAGGGGTCACAACCTCTCAACCTCTTATACTGCAACAGTCCTTGGCATTGAAGTTGATTTTTGAGGCATTAGGGAAAATAAATGACACCCCTGTCCAATAGAACTCTCTTTGTCTTTCAAATTATAGAGCTATTACCTCTGACACATTTTATTACGCAATATTAAATCTTTTAATACTTTAAGCAAGTTGATGACAAAAAATGGTTTAAGAAAATCTTGAATTAAATTATGTCTACATATACCCTTTACCTTTTGGTCTTTTCTGTTTCCTTGGGGTTTTTCTAGAAGTCATTCAATTATCTTCATCATCAAATATTTGTTAACTATCTACTATGTACAAAGTGAGGAGAGGATTTTGCCTTCACCTAGCGCCCCCATCATTGGCTATGACATCTTGTAATGGCACTATTTGCACAATAGGTGGCACAATATCCAGCAAGAAGTAGGTCAATGGATTCTTCTGATTGTCCTCCTGAAGGGCAGCAGCAACAGGAGGGAGTGAGTGGGGGGGTGCCCAGGGAGCAGCTCAAGTCCAGAGGCCCCTGCCCTGGAGGGCTACCCAGCTGCAGCCTCCCCATCCTGCCCATCTACACCAGGCCCTCAGGGGGTAAGGCCTGAGCAATGCCCTTCATTCCCCATGGCCCCAGGAGGGTCCCCACACCTCAGGAGCAGGTAGAGTGTGTCATTTCCAGAATGGGTCCAGCCTCTGGCAAGAGAAGGGCCAGTGGAGGAGGCCACAAGCCCTGGGCCAGAGGCAGGCCCCCATCGGCTCAGAATGATGGGGTTGGCATCGGAACCTTCAGGACGATGCCAAGCTAGAGTCTGAACTATCTCCTGATATCCCCATAATGGCAGTTTCAAACTACACAGTGCTGGACTGTATCTTATCCCCTAGTTTCACTAGGGAAATCCAAGTAACTGGAAACATCTCAACCCCTCCCCTCCCCCTGCCTCCACCACACACACAGTTTCACTAGGGAAATTGAAGTAACTGGTGGCATCCAGGAAATCTGTATCTAGCCCAGCCTGGGGTGACCTCTTTGGTTGATCCTAAAGGATGCAGGAATCCTGAGAACAGTGATTTTTTTTTTAACCAGGGCCTTCTTTCCTGATTAACCCTTTCCAGATGCCTGTTGTCCCCAGGCTGGCTGATCATAAGCCCTGAATCCCCTCCCTCCAGCCCTTCCCATCCCCCTTTTGCAGGTGAGAACAAAGAGAGTTCAGCCTCTTGCATCCTACCCCATGGTGGATATGGGACAGAGACCAAAAAAAAAAAAAGGACAGAGACTTGGACTTATCTACAACCTTGGTTTCCACTTTCAAATTCCTGCCATCTCCACCCTCTCTCCTTCCAAGCAGGAAATGGGTTGCAAAGGCAAAGACTTCCTGTCCTTCATGAGGCCAGCACAGAGAGGAAGACTTTGGCCCTTACTCTATATCCCTGCCTTGCCTTTGATGTCTGCTTCACTTTAGGTGCTCTTTGTTTTGGTGTTCATGCATACAGGCCCTCTGGAGCATATCATCTCTAGAATGGTCCTAGCCTCTGACAAGAGGAGGGCCAGTCTGTGAGGCCATACCCTCTAGGCCAGAGGCAGAGTCCAGTCACCTCAACCAGGAACTCAGGCTTGATGGTGTTGGCATGAGGCCTTACAGGACAATGGCCTCTGCCCAGCCAGGCTCTGAGCCATCCTCTGAAGTCCCTATGATGACAGCTTCAAAGTAGCCAAACACTGGGTTGTTCCAAGTCCCCCCAACACCAGGCACCTGAAGTGACTCTTCAAATTCAGGGCATGAGTCCTGTCCCCAATCTAGGCTGATATCCTTGGACCACTCCTATATGACCTGAACAGACTTAGACCAGGGCTTTCCTTGAGCAGTGTTCCCCAGATCTCTGCAATCTCCATAATCCCTGTTTGAAAGCAATGAAGAATCTTCACATTTCATTTACCTCGTCTCTATCAGATTTTGAGGGTGATCCTCATGACCAGCAAGGGCCATGGCTGTTATCTGGTGGGACACTGGGAGCTCAGCTGGAATCACCATGATGTCTGCTTCAAAGTCAAGTCTGGACCTCAGATATGCTCTTCAACCATAAAGATTAGGAGGCCTGCCTCCTTAAAAGAGCCTGATCCAAAGCCCTGAACACCCTTATCCACACTTGCAGGTGAAGACAGAGAGAGTTCAGCTTCCTGGATCCCACTCCCTGGTCAATATTGAAAATGCTTTTTGAGCCAAGGGGTTGAGAGTGGGCCATTTGTATGGCCCAAGGGAAAGTCCAGAATTGGATGGCTTGTTTTAACTCTGACCTGTGTGGCCAGACCGTGGTGGGGAAAGTCTGGAGATGTATGTGCCACTTACATCCCTGTCTGAACATGCTTCTCATTCCCTGAAGGTTGTGCATTTAAAAGGAGTGGTCTCTTGTATGTCTTTTGGGTCCCAGAGGTATTTCTGTCCCTTCAGACATTGTTGGCAGTTGTGTGAACCTGAACTAAACTCCTTCCCAGTCCTCTTAGGACCATTCTGACACCATCCCAGTTAGAATGTGTTTGGGGGTGAAGAACATGGGCCAGGCTCCTTACATGGCATGGTTTATGTGACTTTGTCAAAGAGTGACCCTCTAGAACTGATACAACTGAGTATTTCCCATCAGTAGTCACTGCTTTCTTAGGTATCATTTTTATATTCTTTGAATATTAAGATATATATATATATATATATATGTACATATATATATATATTTACATTTATATATTTCTATATATGCATGCACATACACACACACACACACACACACACACACACACACACACACACACACACACATTTTTAGGAGTTCCAGCAGTAGATTCTGCTCCTAAACAGGATGCCCAGAATTACAAAAAGCTGTTGAGGATGAAGAGTGCCCTTGACAACATTTGAAGGTTAAGGCCTTTAGGCAGGTTTCTAAAGGGCCCTTCCCAAGGGCTGTACATGCACAAATCTCTGTTGTTCTTAGGTGAGACTTCTTCTCTGACCACCCTCAGTAACAGCCTGTGTTACCTGAACTGGAAACAAAGGACAAGACCTTGGGTAGGCCTAAAATCCTAGAGTCTCAGCTAGGATGTACTTCTCAGAAGTCACGTAGCTTGGCGCTTCTTAAACTGTGGGTTGAGACCCCACATGGGGTCATGAAAAATTTGGCAACAGTAAGAGGTTTCTGAATGTGCAATGACCAAAAATTAATTAAAAATCAAACATAATTAAAAAAAATAGGTTAATGGAAAGTCCAGGCGGGAGACAGTTTTGAGGAGTGTGACCTCTGTGAATTCAAGAGAACCAGGCCTGGCCATTAGGAATTAAACCGCAGAGAGGAATAAGCCCAGGGAGCCCAACTGAGTGGCCTGCCCAGCACAGACATGACATGTACGGGGAGCAGCATGAAAAGACAAAGGACGTTGGGGTCTATCGATGCCAAAGGTGTGAACTGCCTAAGCCACAGGTGTTTTCTCAAGTGTGTCTTGTCTCTCTACCAGTGTCTTCAAGTGCATGCCCACTGATCCCACTGACACTGTGTATATTTGTGGGATGACATGTGCAAGCTTATGGGAAGAATGTTTTGTTGCTGTTGTTCTTTGGAAACCATCATAGTAAATGCCCTTGCTTTGAGTTATTGTAAGCACCTCTGTTTGGGCTGGTGAGCTAGGTTTAAAAGTGCTGACTTAGAGAGTACTTTGAAGTGGGGATAATCACTTTCTTGGAGACCCAACCTGCAAGCATGAGTTGCTGGGGAGAGAAGGTAACCCAGAATGGGTACTATGCTATATTATTGGATTTCGTTTAACTTATTTTTCTCCATTACAAAGGGAAGAGGAAGAAGAAAGGAATAAGTATTTATATTGTACCTACTATATACAAGGCACTATGCTAAGCACTTATATATATATATATATATATTTTTTTTTCCTCATTTGATTCTCACAACAAACCTTGCTACTATTATCCCTATTTTATAGTTGAGGAAACTAAGGCAAATAGAGGCTAAGTGACTTTTCCAGGCTCAGACAGTAAGTGTCTGAAACTGAATTTGAACTTGGGTCTTCCTGACTCTAGGTTCCATACTCTGTCTACTGTACCACCAGCTGCCTCTGGAAGAGAATGGAGCAGAGGGACAGTTCCCTCTCCATCTTAGGATAGAATCACAGAAAACTGAGAATATAATTGCAAATTGTTAATGAAATGTTAAACTGACTGTAGAGATGAGCCTACACCCTAATCCTTTTATAATGTATGAACATCTTTCTGGTTGGCTGAGCAAACAAATTAGCCACACCTCTGAGGGCTAAGTACTAGAAGAATTTCAGAGATTTCAGAGTCCAAAAGTGGAAGACATTGAAAGCCAGGAACTACTTGTAGAAGAAAATCCTTCAGGGGTTTGGGTGTATGAAGCAAATTCTCTCTTTTCTTTCCCTACATTGTCCATTTAGGTTTAAAAGGGAACTACTGGACCAGTGGAATATACTATGTTTAGTGAGGAACAGAGACACACTCCAGACAGACACAGATACAAAGAGATGACCATCTAAAGAAGGAAGCAGCTTCAAGGAGCCTGATCCCTAGCAATCAAGAGTTGAGTTATAGAGAGGAGCTAGAAAGCTAGCATGAGAACTCTCCAAAGAGAAAAAGGACCTCCACCCTCTACTTTATGAGTAATTATGAGTTGTCTTTGCCACATGTGTACCTTACTACCATTTTATTCTAAGTCTGAGCCAACTCTTCTGCTGGATTCTATGTTTGTGAGAGAGCACACTGCTGGTTTATGGAGAGAATGTTTTGGAATTACTGTTCTTGATATACCATTTGAGTAAATGCCTTTGCTAAGAGCTGATTGAGCTGGCCAGCTGATTGTTAATGGGAAGCACAGTGGTGGGGGCCTTGTGAGTTACAGTATTGATATTACATACCCCACAGGGTTATCCCAAGGCCCCAAGGTTGTTGCCCTCTCTGGGCACCTAAACTGAAAATCTTCAAGTGGGATTTAGAGACTAGCCCAGAGTACTACTGAAGGAATTTAGTAGGATCTCTTTTTTTCCCCCAGAGGGTACTTTTTTTTAGTTGCCAAAGAAGTATATAGTATAAACTCATTACTTTTCTTCAGTGATTTCATTGATTGATTGATTCATTCAGCAAGCATACGCTGAGTGATGGCTGTGAGCATAGCATAGTCCTAGGAATTATGGGGAATACAAAGAAAGTACAAGGTATACTCTTTTTAAGTATTTATTTTTAACATTCTTTTCTTTTTAAATTTTGAGTTCCAAATTCTCTGCCTCCCTTCCATACCTCTCCCACCTACTAAGAAAGCAAGCAATATGACATTAATTATATATGTGAAATCATAAAAACCATATTTATATATCAGCCCTATTTTCCCCCAAACCCAAGAAACATAAAGAAATTGAGAAAATTATACTTCAATTTACAATCAGAGTTCATCAGTCATTTCTGTGGAGGTAGATAGCATTTTTTCGTGATAAGTCCTTTGGAATTATTTTGGATCATTGTATTGATAAGAATAGTCAAGTTTTTCACAACTGATCATCATGACAAGATTGCTGTTACTATGCACAATGAATTCCCGGTTCTTCTCACTTCACTTTGCATCAGTTTATATATGTCTTGCCACATTTTTTTTCCTAATACTCCTCTCCCTGTCATTTCTCATAGCACAATAGTATTCCATCACAATCATATGCCACAACTTGTTCAGCCATTTCTCAATTGATGAGCATCCCCTTGATTTCCAATTCTTTGCTACCCCTAAAAGAGCTGCTATAAATATTTTTGTACATATAGGTCCTTTTCCTTTTTCTTTGATCACTTAGAGGTACAGATCTAGTAATGGTATTGCTGGGTCAAAGGGTATGCACAGTTTTATAACCCTTTGGGCATAGTTTCAAATTGTTCTCCAGAATGATCAGACCAGTTCACAACTCCAACAGTTAATTAGTGTGCCACATATACTCCAGTATTTGTCATTTCCAGTAGGTGTGAGGTAGTACCTCAGAGTTGTTTTAATTTGCCTTTTTCTAATCAATAGTGATTTAGAACATTTTTTTTCATATGACTATAGATAGCTTTGATCTCTTCTGCTGAAACCATCTGTTTATATCCTTTGACCATTTATCAATTGAGGAATGGCTCTTATTTTTATAAATTTGACTCAGTTCTATATATTTGAGAAATGAGGCCTTTATCAGAGAAACTTGCAGTGAAAAATTTTGATACTACTTCATTGTCTGTGGTACCTTTTAGCAACATGTGATTTCCCTGATTATCCCTTATAATTAGGTCTATTTTTGCTTTGGTCTGAGATCATGATTGCTACCTCTACCTTTTTTTTTTTCAGTTCAGCTGAAGCATATTAGATTCTTCTCCAGCCCCTTGTTTTAGCCGTATGTGTGTGTGTCTTTCTGTTTCAAGTGTGTCTTTTTTATTTGTTTTGTTTTGTTTTTAATGGGGCGATCGGGTTAAGTGACTTGCCCAGGGTCAAACAGCTAGTGAGTGTTATGTGTCTGAGGTCATATTTGAACTCAGGTCCTCTTGACTCCAAGTCTGGAGCCCTACCCACTGCGCCACCTAGCTGCTCCTAAGTGTGTCTTTTTCAAACAGCATATTGTTGGATTCTGGTTTCTAATCCATTCTGCTATTTGCTTCCATTTTGTGAGTGAGTTCATCCTATTCACATTCACAATTATGATTACTGACTGTGTATTTCCCTCTGTAATATTTTCTTCTGTTTATCTTTCTTTCTTTTTACCCTAACCCCTCCTTTTGACCACTGCCTCTCTTAATTTGCCCTCCCTTTTATCACCCTCCCACTTTTCTTATCCTTTCTCCCTCCTATTTTCCTATTAAGTTAAATTTCTAAACACAAATGAATGTGGATATATATTCTTCCCCCTTTGAACGAGTTCTGATGAGAGTGAAATTCAGGCATTGCCTGCCTCCTCCATTTTCACCTCCACCGTAAGAGCTCTTGCTTGTGCACTCCTTTTACGTGAGAAAAATTTCCCCATTTTACATCTCCCTTCCCCCTTCTCCCAGTGTATCCCTCTTCCCCTTCATTTTTTTGGAGATCAATCCAAAATAATCAATTCATACCCATGCCCATTGTCTACTTAAACTCCTTTTAACTGCCCTAATAATGCTAAAGTTCTTAGGAATTACATGTTATCATCTTCCCATATAGAAATGTAAACAGTTTAACTTAATTAAGCCCCTTATGATTACTCTTTCATATTTACCTTTTTATGCTTCCTTGAGTTTTGTGTTTGAATGTCAAATTTTCTATTCAGCTCTGGTTTTTTTTTTTTTATCAAGAATGCTTGGAAATTTTCTATTTCATTAAATATACATTTTTCCCCTGAAAGATTACAGTCATTTTGCTGGGTAGGTTATTCTTGGTTGTAATACCAGTTCCTTTGCCTTCTGGAATATCATGTTTTTAGTTCTTCAATCCTTTAATGTAGAAGCTACTAAGTCTTATTATCCCGACTGTGGCTGCATAATATTTGAATTGTTTCTTTCTGGCTGCTTGCAATATTTTCTGCTTGACCTGCAAGCTCTGAAATTTGGCTATCATATTGTTGGGAGGTTTTATTTTGGGATCTCTTTCAGGAGGTGATCAGTGAATTTTTTCCATTTCTATTTTATCCTCTGGTTCTAGGATATTAGGGCAGTTTGTTTTGATAGTTTCTTGAAATATTATACAGGCCAATAATTCTTAAATTATCTCTTCTCAATCTATTTTCCAGTTCACTTGTTTTTCCAATGAGATGTTCACATTTTCTTTTATTTTTTCATTCTTTTAACTTTGTTTTATTCTTTCTTGATATCTCATGGGTACATTAGCTTTCCCTTGCCCAATTCTAATTTTTAAGGAATTACTTTCTTCAGTGAGATTTTGTACCTCTTTTTCTATTTGGCCAGTTCTGCTTTTTTTTCTTCAGTGATTTTATGTGCCTCTTTTTTACTATTAGGCCTATCCTGGTTTTTAAGGTGTTATTTTCTTTCTTTTTTTTTGTGCCTCTTTTACCAAGCCATTAATTCTCTTTTCATAATTTTCTTATATCACTCTCGTTTCTTTTCCCAATTTTTCCTCTACCAATCTTGTCACTTTCTTTAATTCTTCCAGGAATTCTTGTTGGGCTTGGATCCAATTAGTATTTTTCTTTGAGGCTTTGTTTGTAGCTATTTTCATGTTGTCTTCTTTTTTTTTTGGCTAGGCAATGGAATTAAGTGACTTGCCCAGGGTCACACAGCTAGTAAGTACTATGTGTCTGAGGCCGGATTTGAACTCAGATACTCCTGAATCCAGGGCCGGTGTTCTATCCACTGCATCACCTAGCTGCCCCATGTTGTCTTCTCTTGCGTTTATGTTTTGGTCTTCCCTGTGACTCTAGTAGCTTTTTATGGTCAAATTACCTTTTTGTTGTTTGCTTTTTTTTCCAGCCTGTTTCTTGACTTTTAACTTTGTTAAAGTTGGGCTCTGCTCACCTGGAGTTGAGAAGGGACTGTCCCAAACTTTAGGCTTTTTTTTTGTACTGCTGTTTTCAGAGCTAGTTCTGGGAGTCTACAAGTTTTTGGTGCCTCCAAGGTAATGTGATTTTGGGAGAGGTATGATCACTACTCTCCTGGTCTGTGCTTTAGTCTTTACCCAGGAAGAGCTCCTAGTCCCCTACAGCCACAAGTGCTAGCATTCCTCTTTGCTTTGGAACTGTGAGCAGGGCTCCTGCTTCTCTGTGACAGACCATCAGTTCTCCTCTTTACCCTGGAATTGCAATCTAGAACTGCATATGGGCAATAGACTTGCCAATCAGTGTTACCTGTACCCAGTGCCAGCAAAGAGTGCCTTATAATCTCTTTCTGACCAGCTGTCCAACCCCATTAGTCCCTAGCCTCTTTTAGCCTTGGGGCTTCTGAAGCCAATGTTGCTGCTGTGACTACTCCATGTGTATATGATATGTATATGAGATGTATACCCCAGTGTCAAAGACTTCTGCTGTTGACCTGGTAAGTTTCCTTACAACGGAAAAATATTTTACCTTCACCTTCATTTTCTCTACTGCTCCAAAATTTGATTTGAGGTATTATTTTAAAATTTTTTGGAGGGGAATATTGAGAGAGTTCAGCTGGATTGCTGTCTCTAATCCACCATCATGGCTTTGCCTCAAGGTATGCTCTTTATTCTTAAGGAGCTTATGTTAAGTCATCAGGCACAGATGACTTGAAACTATCTTGACATTTTACTTGAAAGAAAAGTAATATTATTCTTATCTCTAACTGTACTATTAGCTTATAGATGACCTTGGTGGAATTTTATAATTGTTTATGATTGACTTAAAAAAAAATCTATAGTAAATCTCCCATCCAGAAATAGAATGATTGCATATTATTATTTTGGAGATAGGTGATTTAGTTGGAAATTGCAAATAAATAAATTTAGGCATGATTTTGTGAAAAGCTTCCTAACAAGTAGAGCAGTCTAAAAATGGAATAGGTTTTCTCAAGAGGTGGTGGGTTCTCTGTCTTTAGAGGTTTTCAGGCAAAAGCTTACTGGTTGACTACTTGTTAAACATGTTATAATGAGAACTTCTTTTGTGTAGCAGTTGGACTATATGGCTGCTGAAGTCCTCATCTCTCAAATTCTATGTTTTTGTACAAGTAGAAATTCTCTATTTGTTTACTCTTGGTGGACTCTATGCAAGGCTGCCGAGAGTTAAATAACTTTTAAAAAATT